TTCTGAGCGGCCAAACTTTTTGGGCGAAACTCGGGGATTGGGGGAGAAACATCGCCTGCGATGAAATGCAGTGCGAACGCAACGCGGCGCAATGCAAGCGCCATGCAATGCCTTCGATATCAAAGCACATTCATCCCCCCTGCTCGCGGGAACGGTATTTTTTCTAACCTCTCGGAGCTCTATGAAGATATCGTGGCGAACGGGATCTCGACGCGAAAACCCTTGCCAAGAAGGCGCAGGTGACCGGGGGGGTCGGCCAGGAAAAGGAACGCGCAGAAGATTATTGGGCATGGGGGGGGGCATTTCAATCCATCGCCGTTCGTCCTCACTCTCATTGACCATGATGGCCCCGTATCTTCGCGCTAATGCCGCCCGAGCATGGTCGAGGTATCCCAGCCCGGTGCCAATCCAAGATATATGCCCTTATCCTCATCGCCCTGCTCTACCTCCTCCCCCTCCTCGCGGCAGCTACCGCAAGCTTCCGCGGGCAAAGCGGGTGCACGCGCTCGCCGCCAAGGTGCCTTCGTAAAATCAGAAGAGCCGGGGAACAAGCGGGCAGAAGAAATCGCAGATACATATACGTATGTATACATATATATATATATATATATATATATATATATATATATATATATATATATATCCGCCGGCCCCCTTGTGGGGCCACCAGGCTGCGAGGCGCGTGATTCGCAGTTTCCTGTACCAGTTGTAGTTTGTAGTTTCCAGTGTTACAGTTCTGCTTCTTGCTGGTTACTGTAACTAGTTGACTTCTTGCTGGTTACTGTAACTAGTTGATTGACCGCGCGAGGGGGGGGAGGCCCAAACGGGATTTTTAGCGTCCCCTGGGCGCGTTGTCTGAATTGCTGGGGGGCTCGAAATCAACACCCCTCACGCAGATCCGCGGGGTCAGGGTCCAAAAACACATGGGATTTGCCACATTTCTGAAATTCGGTGCCACCCCTCACGCAGATCCGCGGGGTCAGGGTCCAAAAACACAGGGATTTGCCACATTTCTGAAATTCGGTGCCACCCCTCACGCAGATCCGCGGGGTCAGGGTCCAAAAACACAGGGATTTGCCACATTTCTGAAATTCGGTGCCACCCCTCACGCAGATCCGCGGGGTCAGGGTCCAAAAACACATGGGATTTGCCACATTTCTGAAATTCGGTGCCACCCCTCACGCAGATCCGCGGGGTCAGGGTCCAAAAACACATGGGATTTGCCACATTTCTGAAATTCGGTGCCACCCCTCACGCAGATCCGCGGGGTCAGGGTCCAAAAACACATGGGATTTGCCACATTTCTGAAATTCGGTGCCACCCCTCACGCAGATCCGCGGGGTCAGGGTCCAAAAACACATGGGATTTGCCACATTTCTGAAATTCGGTGCCACCCCTCACGCAGATCCGCGGGGTCAGGGTCCAAAAACACAGGGGATTTGCCACATTTCTGAAATTCGGCGCTACCCCTCACGCAGATCCGCGGGGTCAGGGTCCAAAAACACAGGAGATGTGCAACATTTCTGAAATTCGGTGCCACCCTTCACGCACATCCATCGCAAGGCGTGGTAACCCAAACTGCGAGAACTCCCTCGGCCCTTTAATCGCAAGGTGTGGTAACCAAGCCCGTAAACCATACACGTCTTACCAATCGCCAGGTGTGGTAACCCCTCTTGTGATCAGTTGGTTTTGCTGATTGCGAATCGGCTTCGCATGAAGTTTCGATACTGCTTCACGACAGCGCCAAGACCTCATGACTTAGCTCTTCCATGGCCCATTCTCCGAGGGAGGGGGCCGGCGGCAGGGGGCGGAGCCCTTACGGATATATATATATATATATATATATATACACTCACACACGAAGGAAAATAGCAGGGCCCTCGAAATTCCAAGCCCACTGGGCTAACATTTCGAAGAAGATGCTCGGGGGGCATATGTCAGTCCACTGGCAGTTCTCCAAGATGCACGTGCTCTTCCTCGTCGCCCTACTCTTCCTCATCCTTCTCCGCGTCCCCTCTGCGGCAGCTCCCGCCGGCCCCCGCGGGCAAAGCGAAAATGCGCGCCCCCGCGGCCAGGATGCCGTCGGCATATCAAAAAGCCAAACAACTCCCCCCCCACCCGAGCATGGTCCTCGAACTCCCAAGCCCACGCCCGCTGGCAGTGTGCAGGAATTTCGACGAACATGCTGGGGGGGGCATGTTTTCTGCCGATGGGCAGTTCTCAAACATATCCGCACATCGCGGGGGCATCGCCCACGAAACACCCATCTGCGCAGCGATGCTGAAGAAGAAGATGAGGATGACGACGAACAAGTAGATGAAGAGAACATGACGCCTTAAAACCTGCAGCCCGCGCGTGGCAGACCGCGCGCCCCACGCTGGCCTGACTTCCAGGAGTACGCTCGCGCGCGTGGCCATCGAGCGCGGAGGAACCCCCATATGCCGCCGCGCCCGCCCCCGAGGTGGTAGAAGAATGAGGCGGGGCGCTCGAAGCTCTCGCATGCGGTGGCCAGTCCGGCACCAAAGGTCTGACCTGGATTCGCGGACGGCCCCAGGCACTCGTAGACCGCGCTCGGCGCCGAGACGTCCGCGCATGGCGACGCCCAACCGCGTGGCCAGGGCCGACGATCACTGCCCGCGAGGCGCTGCCAGGCAAGCGCCCAGCAGGAACACGATACACTTCGGCATCAAGAAGATGAGACGCAGAAGTGCAACAATCAGCGCCTGCACCTGGCAGGTGCAGATGTTCGCCACCAGCGGCGGTAACAGCAAGAACGCGCAGAGCGTCGACGCCGGGAAATTCTTCAGGAGCGGGGTCACGCAGAGGAGCGCCACGATCACTGTCGAGCGCGCTATGACCTCGGCGACGCGAACGATCGCCACCAGCGACGGCAGCGGCAGAAACGCGCAAAAGGCAGCGACGGCAGCGGCAGCGACGGCATCGGCAGCGACTACAGCGACAGCGACGGCAGCGGGGGCGGCTTCAGGCAGCGGCAGCGACGGCAGCGGCTTCAGCACAACGGGGCTCTTCAGGGACTGGGTCACGCAAAAGGAGTGGATGGGGCAGATATTCGCCTATCGCGGCGGCAGCAAGCACGCGCAGAGAAGAGTCGCCACCATGAAGTTTTTTAGTGGCGAGATCATGCAGATCGCCGCGGAGCTTCTCAGAACTGGGGCCATGCGCCGCGCGAGCGCGGCGCCGTTGCCCCGCAACGTCCCCATCGACAACGCAGCCCCGAACCGCATCAATGCAGAAAACTGTTCCCAGCAACAAAAATGCCGCATAGAGCTGCACGGGCTCCGCCGAAATGCGAGCCAGGATTCCGAACGTGCAGCCATAGCCGTCTCCCATGGCACCTGGAAGCCCACCGGCACCGAGAGGAGCGGGGAGGGCGTCATCACACCCACTGGGGGGTTGTGCACGAGCCGGACAGCGCAGACTCGCCCTCGGACTGCGATGAACTCCGCCCGAACGTGGAACAGCAGGCAAGGCGCCGTCAGGAGGGGCACCAGCACGCGATCAACGAATTCCACCACCCAGTAGTAGATAAGCAGGCTGGGCTTCTACAGCAGGAGAAATATTATCCTGCTGCCTGACGCGCTTCGGATATGCGAAACTCGGTATCGAAATCAAAATCGCGCCAGAAAATCTCATCGTTTCCAACGCCTGGCGGCGCTGAGGAAGAACCGTGCGGAACGCCAACGCTGTGGTAGGCAGCGGGCCCCGGATAATGACCAACACGATAGCGCAGATAACAGACAAATGTTTGCAAAATTGGAGCCGTCGCAGACGCCCCCGGACAGAACCTGACACAACAACTGCGCAGTCCTGAACATGGTGACCAAAAGCTGGACCGACTCGGACACCGCTGCTACGGCCCCTGACACCGAACCACGACGTGGAAGCACACCACCACTAACTCACTCGCTCTCGCGCGTGCCGGCCCAGAGGCCGTCCCGAAGCGTGGCGCGCGGCGGGGCCTCAGCTCAACGTGCTTTCTCGCAACACACGACTGCACTGTAACAAAGAGATAAACATGTCTACCCGTCTCGACCTGGGGTCTCTCTGCACAGCGCGCCGTGCACAACGAGAAGGGGTGCTCGCCACAGGCCGCGGCGCACCATCAGAGACGATGGGACGAGACGCCTCGCGAGGAGGCGGCCGAACAACGACGGCAGGAAAAAGAGAAACTTGGAATTAGGTGTTCGGCACTCCCTGAACGGGGGTTGTCCTTCAACATCATCTTCCGCTCCTCGGCAATGAGCGTCGGGCCAGCCGCAGCAACGGCGACGCGAAGAAGATGAAACCAGAAGCCACTGCGGCGCCGAAGGTCTGCATGTAACTGACGTCCGCGAACCCTTGCACGTGCATTCTGGACGAGAGGCTCGGCAACCTCGACGTCGCGTCGTTGGAAAGGCCGAGGGCGGGCGAAATGTAGGCGCACAGCACACGCACAGCACGCAGACGACGAGCTTCGCGACCACGAGCATTCCGAGCGTGCACCATCCCACTGCGTAGGTTCTGCCCACCCAGCAGGGGCAAGGGGCGCCACCATCGACGTGCAACAAAAAGCTTGGAGCGCGTGCGCGGCCCCCCCCCCTCCTGACACGAGGTCCTAGAGCCAGAACGGCTACGAAAAGGGAAGAGGACAAGGACAAAGACAAGGACAAAAACAAAAACAAGGACAAGGACAAAGACAAGGACAAAGACAAGGAGGAGAAGGACAGAAACAAAGACAGGGACGTGGCGAACGGGGTGGACGTGCGGAGCCCACTGCCAACCAAGAGCTTTTGGGGGGAGCCGGCAGCACGAATGACCTCCTGAGGTTAACTACGGGGAAAACAACCCTACCTCGCTTTTGACCACCCTCGCTTCCAAGAGATACCAAACGATGCCAAATTGCAGCCTGTACTGGTCAGGCCGCTTGACGAGGGGGCGCGTGGTATGGCTTGGTTTTGCCTGGAAGCGAAAGCGGGGTAGGTAATTCACGCTCTGATTAACCCAAGACCCAAGGAAGAAAGGAGGGGAGAAGGCGGGAACCAGCAAGACGCGACAGCTCGATCAAACGGCACCGTTGTGGTGTATTCTGTCAACTGGTTATGATAAAATTCTGGGCCGGTGGATCAGAGGAGGTTGCCAGACGCCAGACATGACCCTAGGCAGAACGCTCCTCCACGGCCTCGTGGAGGAGCGTTCGGCATCTCAATTAAAGAGCCAAGCCGAGGCAGGCACCGCTGTGACGAGCCGGGTGGGCAAGATCGGCGGCTTGCGCATCAACTTGCAGGCGGCCGCCGACTGGCGGCCGAGGCTGATCGCTACACAGTTCAGCGAACCAAGAATGGTGCACGATGGATTTCCCCACCGTCGGGGACACGTGTCCCGTGGCGGCTGGAAAGAACATGTATACTTATGGCACCGTCATGGTCTATGCTAACAGCTGACTGCTTAAAATTATGCGATGGTGGACCTTCGGAGGTTGCCAAACTGCAGACGTGACCCCAGGCCGAGGTGCCGGCGGCGTTTCGCACCGGCTTGAAACCCCTGTGGCGCGCGGGGCCTCCTGGGGGAGCGTTCGGCGTCTCAATTGAAGACCGGCGGCCTGCGCGCCAACTGGCAGGCCGTCGTCGACGAGCGGCCGACGCTGATCTCTATGATGGGCCCGTTCTCCACCACCACCACAAGTTGGAGGTGGGGAGAAGGTGGAGGACGAGGAGGAGGACGAAGAGGAGGAGGAGGAGGACGAAGAGGAGGAGGAGGAGGAGGAGGAGGAGGAGGAGGAGGACCCTCTCCTTCTCCAACTTATGGCGGTGGTGGTGGTGGAAAACAGGCCCATCACTCTACGCATGGGCTAATTGTTCATTGGCTGGACTGCGGCATGCAGCCTGGCACGGAGCAAGAGCGCATCCGGCACGGCCAGGGCGACAAGCCAGCACGCCTCCCCGACCGCGCCCAGGCTGCTGTCGGTGGCCAGCTGGAGGATCTGCGCGACCTCGGCCGCGAGGGCGCCTGCCGGGCACGCCGTCGCCGACCCCACGGCCCGCGCGCAGACCTGCCCGGGCTGGAGGCGGGTCCGAGCTGGTGGGGCCGCGAGCAAATATTGCTCGAGTCGGAGGGGGGGGGCGCGAAGGCAGATACGATCCAACTCGGCCCCCAGAGCTCTCCCTGGGTCCATCTAGTGCAGTTGTTCACCCCGCATCTGCTCTTGACGGCCCCGGCGCCCGAAAACGGCCACTGGAGACCCCCAAAAGGAAGGCAACAAAGAACCTTGCCGAATCCAACTCCTCGAAGCTGCCCCTCCCTTCCTGCTGGCCGGTACCGCTGCTGGGCCGCTTCCGAGTGCCCAGGCGGCGCAGACCAGCCAGCGAGCACACGTCCTGGCTGGCCCTGGGCCCAAGGCCGGCGCCTGTGCGCCCTCCTCAGACCCCCGACGAAATGATTTGTTCATAACGTCGACCCCCAGAGGCCCGGACCCATTTCCCGGGCACGGCTTCTCGTCCCGAATTGTTTTTGGACGGTCCCGAGGCCAGGTAAGGGCCCCGAGAGGAGCAAATAGCCAAAAACATTCCGCCGCAATTTTTCATGACCCGAGGGGGTCTTGATGGGCCTGTTTTCCACCACCACCACCAGAAGTTGGAGGGGGGAAGGAGGTGGAGGACGAGGAGGAGGAGGAGGAGGAGGAGGAGGAGGAGGAGGAGGAGGAGGAGGAGGAGGAGGAGGACCCCCTCCCCCTCCAGCTTCTGGTGGTGGTGACACAGTGGTGGAAGACAGGCCTGGCAGGTCTGGGTCCAGGGCTCGGCCAGGCGCACGGCGCATACGCGCACATCTGTAGAGGGAAGAGAACTATGCACATGCACCGATTCTGGCCAGGCCCATCCTGAGCCCAGGATCGGTGCATACGCCCTCCTACCTTGGCCAGGAAGGCATATGCACCGATCCTGGGTCAAGGATGGGCCTTGCCAGGATCAGTGCATGTGCATAGTTCTCTTCGCCCGAATCTGGGACCCTGGGCCTGGCCGGCGAAGTGAGCCCACAGCAGCTCAAAACATCGGTCCCTGGACCTCTGCCAGCCTCTCCTCCTCCTCCTCCTCGTCCTCCTCCTCCTCGTCCTCCTCCTCGTCCTCCTCCTCCTCCTCCTCCTTCTCGTCCTCCTCCTCCTCCTCCTCCTCCTCCCTCCTTCCTCCTTCTCCTCCACCTCCTCCTCCTCCTCCTCCTCCTCCTCGGTTCCTGGACCTCTGCCTGGACCGACCTGCAGCCAACCATGGCGACGCGGGGGCCCCCCGAAAGACATACCGTTGCCTGAACTCGTCCTTCTCTGAACCCAGGCCCCCGAAGTCTTGATTTTCTCATTGCGCAAACCCCTGAAAATGTTTCCTGGGACAAGCTCTCCCCCCTGAGCCGTTTTTTCGGTTACAAGGCGCGGCGAGGAATCCCAAAGGCCGAACACAACAGAAAACCTACCGTCATTTTTGTTTCACGGCGCCTGCGGGCGGTCTCGGGGGTCGTCTTGGGCGGAGCCTGCAAAATACCAGTTCGAATTACCTCTGTTGGGGCCCCTCTTGGGCCGTGTGTGGAGGTCTCTTGGACCCTTTTGGGAATCTCTTGGGCCGCCCGGGGGCCCTCTTGGGTCTTGGGGGCCTCTTTGGGCGATCTTGGAGGCGAGGGCATCATGACCCAATATCAAGCCGGAGAATCGAAATCGACCATCGAAATGCATCGAACAACTCTGAAGGCATTGGAATCGACGTCTGTTGGCCCAAGCCGAGACATACACAAAGAAATCCAATCCAAAGTCGGAATCCACAGTTCAATCGAGCCAAAATTGGAACCCTCGGGTCACCGAATCGATCCGAATCGACAGGGTCGAAATTGTTCCTGCGAGGGGGTCTGGGCAGCCAGTGCCCTCCGAGTTCTGTGGCAACTCATGGGAACTTCCCATGATGTCTTGCTGGCTCTTGCGGATAACCGACTCTAGCGCGCAAAATCGATGCTCGTTGACAGTAGTTCGGGAGTTTCTCACCGATCACCAACAGTTAGCACACGCTAACACACTCTGAAAAGGGAGTTGCGAGGACATACGATGCTCCTATGAGGTGCTACCGAACAAACCTGCTGGCGGTCTCGGGGGTCATCTTAGGCGGAACGCGCGAAATATCAATTCGAAATCCCCCTCTTGGGGCCCTCTCGTGCCGTGTGGAAGGGCTCTTGGACCGTCCTGGGCCCATCTTGCGCCGCCCGGGGCCCCTCTTGGGGGCCTCTTGGGCCGATCTTGAAGGCAAAGGCGAACTATTCTTGCCGTTGGCAGCTTCTTCGAGACTGCTGCAACCTTCCGCGACGAAGGCATGCCAAAGGAACACCTCTTCCCGTCGCGGCGCGGCAGAGGCGACCCGCCCGCGCGCCCCAGGAGCAGGGGGTGCGCGGCACACGAATGAACTGGCAGCAGGAGACGGGGGGAGGAAGAAAGCTCCCTGACGAAACAAAAGGTCCATTGTCATGGGGTCCGACTGAATAGGAGGGCAGAAAGTCCACCCCCATAGTGATCATCACGACACGCCAAGCCGTTTAGCAACAGACGCACCCACAGAAGGAATCGAACGGGGCAAGGCTGTTTGGTGAACGCCCAGGGCCGCTTCGTGGACGCCAAGTGTCGGGTCCGGGTGTTTCTTTCCTCCCGTGATGTATGAGTTGCTGCCGAGCGAGCCTGCTCCCAGTCGGCCGCCCCAAGCCGCTCGGGGCGGATGCCGTGCAGCGGCAGCAGCCCCGCGCGGACGCAGCCGAGGGCCAGCAGGCCCGCGGCCAGCGCGCGGGGGGCCGCTGGGCCGAGCGATGCCGCGCGGGCCACCACGGCGGCGCCGATGGCGTAGCTGTGCTGCCAAAGCTGCGGCATCGCCTCCGCAGGGCGGCGAACGCTCCCATATGGGCCCCAAGAATCATGTTGCTCCCATCGTGCTTCAGGACCAGATCCCAAAAACAATCTCGAGCACCCCGAGAAGTATCGAAACAATGTCGAACGAGTATATCCTCCCAGAGCCCGACACGTAGAAACCCTCCAGTCTCGGTATTGTTCTGGTGGTAGAAATAATTGCTGGTGGTTTAGGCTAAAGTAGGTTGGGACCTCATAACCCGTGAGCATGCCCCACCACCACCTTCATTCGTCCTCCCTCTCCCTCCTCAACCATCCTCTTCCTCTCTTCCCTCGAAGAGGGTGGTGGTGTGTATTTATTACCTAACAGCGAAGACTGATAAGTTTCTAGTAGGCTCAAAAGACAGCATCATGACGTCCCAGGGGGGTCTGGGCAGATGCCGGACGGGTGCCGGGGAGAATCCGCGGAAGTCGTTTTAAGCAAACAGTAACACATTTCGTGGTCTTCGAGGTCCCAGAACTCCATTCCCGGGCCACATTCTGAATGCCTGGAGCCAACTGTAGGCCACTTCGTGGTCTTCGAGTTCCCAGAACTCCATTCCTGGGCTACATTTTGAATGCCCGGAGCCAACTGTAGGCCACTTCGTGGTCTTCGAGTTCCCAGAACTCCATTCCCGGGCCACATTTTGAATGCCCGGAGCCAACTGTAGGCGACTTCGTGGTCTTCGAGTTCCCAGAACTCCATTCCTGGGCACGATTTTGAATGCCCGGAGCCAACTGTAGGCCACTTCGTGTTCTTCGAGTTCCCAGAACTCCATTCCCGGGCCACATTTTGAATGCTGAGGCAGGCTGATGCTGAGGCTGAGGCAGGCTGAGGGTGAGGCAGGCTGAGGCTGAGGCCGAGGCTGAAGGCAGACTGAGGCTGAGGCTGAAGCAGGCTGAGGCTGAGGCTGAGGCAGGCTGAGGCTGAGGCTGAGGCAGGCTGATGCTGAGGCAGGCTGAGGCTGAGGCTGAGGCTGATGCAGGCTGAGGCTGAGGCAGGCTGAGGCTGAGGCCGAGGCTGAAGGCAGACTGAGGCTGAGGCTGAAGCAGGCTGAGGCTGAGGCTGAGGCAGGCTGAGGCTGAGGCAGGCTGAGGCTGAGGCTGAGGCAGGCTGAGGCTGAGGCTGTGACTGCGACTGCCGTTGCCACTGCGACTGTCATCGCGAATGCGACTACGACTGCGAGAACATCAGAATTCTACAACTAGATTCTCATCTGAATCTTAAGGGGAATGCTTCCAAATATGCTCCTACACATCGCTGTTAGGTTGCTTTGCCAGGATAATATATATATATGTATATATATATATATATATATATATATATGTATGTGTATATATATACACATACATATATACATATACATATACATATATATATATATGTATATATACACGCAAATGTTGGCCCCCATAACCAAACATGATCGCGCCGTGAACAAAACAGGACAACGGTTTTCCTCATGTTTGGCCCTCACCGGGCACCGGGACCGTCAAACAATGACTCAGAATGAGAAGTTGGTCCCCAGGAAAGGTTCGGTCCCCGTACAGAATAAATCAGGACGTCGCATGTCTGTGCATCCGTATCCATACCCTCGCGGTCTGGACTTCGGGGCGCAATTCCCTGAGACCTGGGCGCTGCAACTTTTTCACACCTGGCGTTTGCGCCCTGCAGGGCCACGGCTCGAACATGACGCAAAACGACGTGGCTCGGGACTCCAGCGGTGATTTTTCCCGAGGCTGCAACTTGCTCTGCAACCTCGATCTGAAGGCCCCGCGGACACGCGGTCGGACGGATACGCTAGGTTCGTGCGGCGTCGAGGCGCGCAGAGGTTTTTGACACCGCGTCGATCGTTCAAACTTGAGCCGACCGCGGCACCGATCGTTCAAGGTTTCACTCTGTCGGGTCCAGTGGCGTTGACGCGTTCCTGGGTGCTTCCGCGTCGCAGAGTTCGACATTGAATGCCTTCGCAAGCATCGCCGGCGCGCCAATGCCGCATGAACCTACCGTACGCTGGGCGCGGGGCATCTGCGAACGAACGCCCCGCATCCGCGGGGCTGCGGCCCAGGGGCCCCGCCCGCGAGGCCGCGGATGCGGATGTGTTTTTCGCCCACGCTCGCCGCCGCGAGCTCGGCCTCCTCCGCAGCCGCGAGCCGCTCCCTGGCCAGGACCCTGAGGGCTGGATCGGGCGGAAGGGGTGCGTGTATGGGCCAGTTTTCCACCACCACCACCATAAGTTAAAGAGGGAGGGGGTCCTCCTCCTCCTCCTCCTCTTCGTCCAGCCGTGTCGGCCCAGGTGTTTCTGGGCTTGCCCGAGTGTGCTTCGACGCGGCTCGCTCGGGCGGGCACTCGATGACGACAAAGCGTCCTTCTTGGCCGTGTGGGAACTGTGCGAGAGTGTGCGGCACTGCGTTTGCATACTACGCTTACCGTGTCCACTGCCTGCGCTGCGGCAAGCAGGCGCCGAGGGGAGTGCTTGAGAAGCAGATGCAGCTAAAGAGTGGGAAACACTATGGTGGGAAATCCAAGGCTCCGTGGCTCAGCGCCAAGAACAGGTGGGAGGACGGACCGCCTGGTGGACTACGCCGAGACGAGCCAAAAGGGACCACCAGCTCCAGCACCTGCACCAGTCGACCAGGCAACGGCGAAAGCAGTGCTTGAGACAATGGCAAAAGCGCATGGAAACGACAGGACGCAGTGGCGTACACAGGTGCAGCATATGTTGCAACTATGGGACAAGACGGTGGCAGTCAAGCCTCAGGAGAACCAGCACGTGGACATCACCAAGCTCAGCTCGTTCCAGCTGGGACAGCGCCTGGAGGACACAAGCAAGACGCTACACAAGTCCGAGGAACGATTCAAGGAGCGAAAGGAGGAGTACAAGCGTGCTCTTGCTGCTCGCGACGCAGAAAGGCAGATCTTGGACAAGCGCAAGCTCAAGAAGCAGCAGCTTGAGAAAGCACAGACCGAGGGCTGCCTATGAGAGCAGGCAGGCGGTGCAGACAATCCAGCGCTGCAGCTCTGCGGGAAGGTTGCGGAGGTTCAGTAATCAAGTGGAAGCGGCGAGGTCCCTGAATGTCTTCGAGGACCGATGCTCGCACTCCAGCAGGCAGTCGAGGCGTGCCAGCAGCAGCAGAAGCAGAAAGAAGAGCAGCGTGCAAAGGCTCAGCATCCTCAGCATGCTACTGGTGGTGGTGGCGGGGATGCTAGCGATGAGCCCATGCAGCACAATGGACCTGATGACATCCGAGTCCCCGGCGATGAAGACTGAGCTGAAGACGGCTAAAGCTGAGGGGCTCTACGCCGAAGAAGGGCTGAAGCTCGATGGAGCTGAGGAAGAGGAGGAGGTCAAGCGTATCACCGAGGCACGGAAGCGACTTCGTCACCAGCTTGACGCCGCAGCAGAGCGTGCAAAGGAAAGGAGGGTTGCGGCCCCGGCTACTGCGAGTGGAAGGAGCGCTTGAGAACTTCACGACGGTCAGTGGCTGGGGCCAGTTCCAGCAGGTAGTGGACAACACCAGGTCCACGTTTCACGAGATGGGTTCGCTTGAGAATGCATCATCTCCGAGGCTGTGTCAGGCAGTGCACTTGCTGGATTGTCTCAACAGTCTGGGCTCTTAAAGTGCAGCAATTCTTTCTACGTCGGCATCGGCGACATCGGCATCTCTGAATTATGCTCGTGGGAAGATGTTGCCAGCACAAAGTACGAGTTGCGTATCTCTTGGGAATTCTTCGACGGCGACGCAGAGGGCGACTCAGCGCTCAATCTCTGTTGGGCGCGCAACATATTCCGCGAGGGCAATCGATGGAGTTTGCCGCAACTGTGGCACGGGTCTTCCGAGACAGGCTCGTCCAGAGGAGGCGGGGGCCACCGAGGTCAAGACTTGGAGAATCGTGACGGCGAACATCACTTCGGCACAGAAGGAGGCGGCAAAGCTTTGAACTATTGCAGCTGAAACAGTCGATATGAGTTTGAGGCTGATGCGCTTCTCATCCAAGAGCACAAGCTGCTCGAGCCGGCCATCGGCGACACCGTGGTGAGGCTCGAGCATCAAGGTTGGCATTTTCGCATTGGGCCAGCCAGATAAGGCAACGCCACCAACGCAGCCTCGTCAGGAGTCGCAGTTGGAGTCAGGCAAGATATTGGCCCCGCTGGTCAACCAGATCTGGGGGGAGTTGCACCGCCAAAGTCGAGGTGGACAACGCAGTGGATCGACGGCGTGCCCCCTGGTGGGTTTGTCTTCGCCTCGATCTACCTCATCTCGAGGAACCAGCGCAAGGGCGCGGGGGGCAACAGGCAGATCATCCTGCAGTGTTTCGAGCAGCTCGAGCGCCTTGGGCGACCTTTCATCATAGGAGGTGATTGGAATATGAGTCCAATTGACTTGGAGGAGCAGAATGTTCTGAATGGCATGCCTGCTACTATTGCAGCTCCTTCTGAGTGGACGCGCCCGGCAGGACGTGCAAGGACTATTGTTTTTTTCGTCATCCCCAAGCATTTTAAAAGCTTGGTCACAAGAGTGCGAAGATAGGAGGGGCTCAGCTTGGCGACACATTGGGGCGTTCTGCTTGAGCTTGAGACAGGGCCAGGAGCAGCTATGGAACAGCAGATTGTCATGCCAAAGAAGTTCCCCAAGGAGTGTCCCCTGGGAGCGCCTAGGGGGCCACCTTCGCACGCTCAGGTACACGGAGAATGCGAACGCGCACGAGACGCGCAAGATTTAAATTGGTGCTTTCAGCAATGGATGACGTTGGCAGAGTATGAGCTGGCTGACAGATACCATCTACCAGATAACAAGCGCCGAGCTACCGCTGGGAGAGGTGAGTTATTGGACCCGCATGTCAAGTTGGCGGCGGCGGCGAAGAAAGCACAAGGACGAGGAGCTGAATGAGATCCGGTTTCGAGAACCTGGAGAAGAGCGACCATGGCCATCCAGGATCTCATGCATGCACTCAAGAGAAAGCGGGAGCTGGACTTGCAGTTCGTGACGCAAATATTGCGGGCGCTCCAGAATCTCAGACGTAAGAATTTGGACAGGGGAAGTGCTTGGTTTGTCTTCTGGTGTCGGCTCGAATCTGAGTGGTGCTGGGAAGACGAATGGCTACGCGACTGCAGTTGGTTTGCGGCGCAAGAGGCCACTAAGTTGGAGCAGCAGCATGCTAAGCAGCGCGTGAAGGAATGGAGACAGGCAGTCGCAAAACCCATCGATCAGGAGCAGGCCACGGCACACAAATGGAGCAAATGACCAACAGTGTGGACGCAAGCTGAAGTCCACCCCAACACGGGCATCAAACCGCACGCGACCACGCTCGACGCGGACCTTCTGCAATGGCTCCAGATATGAAATCACGAACCTGACGCAGACTCATTTGGGGGAGGACTTCGCTTGCAGGATTTCAGCGACGACGGGCAGATGGAACCTCTTCAAGTTGGTCAGATTCGCAAGACAGGGCTAACATCCAAGAGGGAGACAGCCTCAGGCATCGATAACCTGGGGACCAGGAACATGGTGTTGTTACCGGATGATTGCCGTCGCGCTTTCAGTAGCGTGATGGAGGGCGCTGAGAGGGCCATCGAAGTTCCCAGGCACATGAAGAACATAGCGTTACCGAAGCTCCCAAAGCCTGAACGGGGCACAGGTTGATCGGTTTGATGACGGACGCGCGCAGAGTAAACGACAGGTGTCGCCGACATGTTCAGCAAGGTCGGCTACGAGAACATGTTCGGCCGTGCCACTATGCTACGGCTGGCAAAAGCTCGGGGGGAGCGGTTTGGGCACAGTCAGTCTTGGCAGAGGCAGGGAGGGCGCTCATGAGGCATTCGGCCACGGTCATGCTTGACTTGAAGAAAGCCTTTGAGAAGATTGCACATGCTGCTCTTTGGGGGATCGGTCGCAGGCATGGGTTTCCAAAGAGAAGACTTGTTATGGTCATCAAGACGCACGCGGGAAGAAGGGGCCTAAAATTTGGTGAGATAGCTTCCAGGTTCATCAGCGCGAACCAAGGGGTTAGAGCAAGCTGCTCAGATGTTACCACCGTGATGAACTTCTTCAGGTGGGGCGCCTGGGATCAGGTGTACACGTTGTGGCCCTCTCACACTATCAGCGTAGCCGTAAATGATGGGAGCTTGCAAGCGTCGGGAACAGAGAAGGATGCAGTTCTGATCGTCATAGCGGCGGTGAAGCTGGTGTGCAGGCTCCTGGTCAAGCTGGGCTTGGAGCTGAGTCCGAACAAGGTGCACGTCATTGCGACGACACCGATGATGGCAAAATAAACTGAACTGGCATTGAGTGAGTAGGCCTTCCGACAAGCTAGCGTGGTCAGGCAGCTTGGACATGCCCGACGCATGGGAGGAGGTGCAAGGATACCCACACACCGAGGACGAGTTGCTGCTGTAGGGCGCAGAGTACCGAAATTTCGGAGGCTGGTGGCAAACAGATGGGTGAGCTCTTCCGCTATGGAGGGCTAGCATCTATTGGCTACACGGCGAAGGTCCAGGGCATGAGCGGCATGCAGCTGCAGAAGGTCAGAGCGAATTCAGGACATGCTCAGTTCGGACCAGCGCGGGAAAGAAACATGACGATGGAGTTTCTGCTGTCGCACTGTCCTCGGTCAGACCCGACGTTCATTGCGGACGGGTGCCCGTTGGTGTATTGGCTCAAAGCAAATTGGGAGCAGTGGGTCAATCCGAAGGCGGTGGCCCTGGCATCCATACACGCGCAGAACCATACACACTCCTGGCAATCAGTTCAGGGACAAGCTGGAGCAGCACACTTGGCTCTTCGACTGATGGGTTCGAGAGCCGAGAGTTGGAATCGTTGGTTCGCAGAGCGTGGCTCAAAAGTTGAGCTGGATGAAATCAGAGTCGGCACACTGAGGAACTTGATCAATGTATCCACCACAAGGCGTCTTCTGGAGGCAGTTCCTGGCAGTCGTGGAATGAAGGGGCCCACTGGGCCGCCGATTCTGGGGCCAGCTGTCCAGGAGACTGCTGAACTCAGACGCAAAATGGACTTCAAGGGAGCTGACCTACTACGTAGGTGGCTAGCTGGAGGTGTCTTGAATCAAGTGAGGTTGCATGCAGTTCAAGCGGCGGACATACCGATTTGCGAGATGTGTGGTGCTGAGGCGGGAACTGACTTGCGCAGGTGCTTTCGTTGTGATGGGCACCCCAAGGAACAGCAATATTGGAGCGGATATGAAAGAAAGCTCATGAGGTGGGGGCGCAATGAATATGGGCAGGGCCACCCGTGCACGATGATGCTGTGCAAAGGCCTCTTTACAGACCCGCTGTTTCAAGTACCAGATGCAGTTGAGCACCGCACTATTCGCTGGCATATGTGCACTGTGTCAGGGCTCATCAGTGGAGTTGTGTGTGGATGGCAGCTGTATCGCTCCACACTGTGAGTTTCGTCAACGCTGTTGCGGCAACGTTGTTGGCAACGTCGCCGCAACAAGTGGCACCGTTGCCAACACTGTGAAGTTGGCAACATTGTTGCGGCAACGTCTGGGCCAGTACCGCTTCCATGGCAGACCTCAGGTGCAACAGAGTTGTCTGCCGCGAGGCAAGCCTTTCTACACAAGTCACAAGGGCCGCTGCACCTGATCACGGATTTCAAGGAGCTGCGCATCGGCTGGCAGGCTGGATATCCTTATGACACACACCCTGACCACCGGTATGCAGAGTTATGGGTACACTTCTGGAATGCAGCGGGGGATGTTGGTGCACAAGAGATCGACGTCGAGTGGATTCAGTCGCACCTGTCACAGACAAAAGCGAACAAACTGCATATTCCTTTGGCCTACTGGCACGGCAACAAGCAGCTGGACTTCTACGCGAAATGCGGTGCGGCTATGCACCCCAGGGGCATTCCTCAAGAGCGAGCTCGCCAGATGCGTGAGCATGCGGCGGCGTTGGCACTGAAAACTGTGCTGCGCATCCTGCGCCGCTGCTCGAGGGCAACATGGGCAGATGTTGTAGTGAAGGAGTATGTTGAGAGACCGATCGGGCTCACTCTGAGTGACGATAAAGGGCATCTAGTGCGTAGGTTCAAACGCAAACGTAGATGGGCTTGCACGAGGTGCGGAGATAGTCGTGCTCGCAGGTGTGATCATTTGAACTTGAGCTGTGGAGGATCCCCTAAGGAGGTCCAAGCGGCTCATGAGACGCACCGCCTCTGGAAAACGGGCCCGATGGTTTGGTGTGTAGATTGTACTGCTCGTTGCGTCAGTAGAGCGTATATGATAGCCAGACCGTGTAAGGGTAGACCACCCCTGGGTTCTCCGAGGCACTTTAAGAGGAAGTACCTTATCCAGGAGAAGGGCCCGTCAGGCGAAAAGATAGGAAATGGGTTTCACAAGCCTGTGCCAATCACCTCGCGTAGCTGATTTTCGGAATTAGCGCTCATGATTCTCGTGTTTCTGGCTTGGTGCCTCGTTCTCGGAGCCCTTCGTCGTCATCGGAACCCTTGGAACCCTCCTCCTCTTCGTCCTCCTTCCTCCTCCTCGTCCTCCACCTCCTTCCCCCCTCCAACTTCTGGTGGTGGGGGTGGAAGAAAACAAGCCCATCAAGGGGTGTGGGCTGTGCACGTTCAGAGTTATGGTGTTCCCATCCTACTTAAGGACCACATCCCAGAAATAATTTCGAGCACCCAGGAAAGTGTCAAACGAGTGTCGAAAGAGTGTCGAAAGAGTGTGGGGCGAGTGTCTCCCAGGGCCCGCCACGTGAACACCCTTGAGTTTCGGTACTTTTTTGGGGGCGCTCGGAATTCTTTCTGGTGAGCAAGGCTGAAGTAGGTTGGAACACTGTCGGCGCAGCCGGGTGGGGTGAACACGCGGCCTGGCGAGCAGAAGTGCATAGCAGAGAGGAGGAGGAGGAGGAGGAGGAGGAGGAGGAGGAGGAGGAGGAGGAGGAGGAGGAGGAGGAGGAGGAGGGGGGAGAAGGGAGAGGAGGAGGAGGAGGAGGAGGAGGAGGAGGGTCAGCCGAGACGACAGTGGCCGGCCTTCCTCGAGGCCACGGCGGGCGCAGCCCGGAAGACGGGCGCGCTGGGAACCCCCAGGAGGAGCCCGGGGACCGACTCTTGGAGCTGCCGCTGCCTCGACTCGCCCTGCTCCGAGCGGTGACACCCGGCAGAGCAAGAGTCCTCCCGCGTGGGGTCAAGAGTAGACCATGCGAGATGCTTGCGAAATCATGGGTTAAGAAATTCATAGTCTCACAACTTGAACAAACACCCGCAATTTCTATTAACATCTTAGGATTTACATTGAAACATTAAGAGTAATCGAGACTCTGGCCGAACATTTAAGTTTTCTTAAGCATCGCCTGAAGTGTAGACGAGGTCGGAGGATCACGCCGCATCGTCGATGTATCGTCGATGCACCACCGATGCACTGGCGACGTCGGCGATGCATCGGCGTGGAGAAAGTCGGCCTCCACATCGAGCCGCATCGCCGATGCATCGTCGATGCGGCGGAATCCTCCGACCCCACACAACAAGAGGCGTACACAACAAGGGCGGGGCAGCGAATCGGCTCATGTAGCTGGTTTCTCCAGAGCCTCCTGGCGCCGGAGGAGCCAATGCATTTGAGGAGAGCGCTGGGCTGCGAGGCCGAGGCCAGCTGCATGGCAGCGGGCTTCGACCCCGCGCCCCTGTGCAAGTCCCTCCCTATCGTCCGACCCAGCCTGAGCCGCGAGAAGAACGCGGCTAGCCACCAGTGGAGCGACGGGAGCCAGATCTGCCAGCCCAGGCAGTGCAAGATGCTGCGCTCGGCGCTGTCGATGTCCTCTGGTAGCGCGGGCTCTGCGGCCACGCCGTGCCTCCAGAGCACCTCCGTCAGCGCCGAGAGACAGCCGCTGGGCAGCGTGCGCGTGGCATCCTCGGCCTTCCACAATATCCTCAGCACCGCGGTCGCGTGCGATGTGGCCCGGTGGGCGAAGTCCAGGCCGCGGGCCGCCAGGATGTCGCACAGGTGCATGCTGTCGAACCACAGCTTCTGGAGGCAGACAGCACTCGAGGTCCCGGCCCACCTCTCCGCGATGGCGGACACGAGGAACCTGAGGGTCTGCCCGAGGGCGAGCCTGCGAGCGTCGGCAATCAGCTCGGCGTCTTTACCAGGCGTCGCCATTCGCTCCTCGAGCAGCGCGCAGCTCCGGAGGCAGGGGGTGGACACCCCGCAGAGCTCGAGCATCTCCTCCACCTCTGAAGGGGCCAGAGGGACGCACAAACACATGGACACAAATAACACGCCTCCCCCTATGTTCCCATATGTTCTGGGCTTTTGTCGTCCCCCCATATTCTTTCCCACATCTTCTGGGGGATCGACGATACAGTGTGCCTGTGTTTTTATTGTCCCCTCCTGAACCTCATCGGCAACCGCCGATTTTCGCTGCACGCCCGGGTGCCCGAGAGGTGCCCGGGGGTGCCCGGGGTTGCCCGGTTGCCCGGGCGTGCAGCCCAATAGCCCTATAATAGCCTTATAGCCTTACAGCCTATTGCTATATCAAAAAGTTTTAGAACAGACTCTTATTACAGGAGTCTTTTTTAAAGGACTCTGATTGGGTTTTTCTCCGGTATCAGGTTGTTCCCTCCTGGACACGCCGCTGCTGCTGCTGCTGCTGCCCCATCGCTCTCGGCGATCGGGGGACCCCATTGGGCCCGCACCAAAGGCCACTCCGGCGAAAGGTCACTCTTACGTGCAATCGAGTTGTTCCCTCCTGGACCTCATCGGTGCCGGGAGGCGCCCATGTATCGAGGAATGGGCCCCTCGGCGGGACCGAAACCAGCTGCGTGCAGCAAACTTCGTAACCCCCCCTTCCCCTATCCCCCCCCCTTGCGACCGGCCCGAGCTTCTCTCCGGCATCCTGCTGTTCCCTCCTGGACCTCATCGGCAATCGGCGATCGGGGGACCCCGTTGGGCCCGCACCAAAGGCATCTCCGGCGAAAGGTCACTCTTCCCAGACCCCCGACGTAATGATTTTTTCATTACGTCGACCCCCAGAGGTCCCGACCCTTTCCCAATGACCGGCTTTGCATCCTGAGTCGTTTTCTGACGCTCCCGAGGGCCGGTGAGGGGCCCCAAAGGCCGAAAATTAGGAAAAACCTCCCGTCATGATTTTTTCATTACCCGAGGGGGTCTGGGGGGCCCGCACCAAAGGCATCTCCGGCGAGAGGTCACTCTTAGGTGCAGTCGAGTTGTTCCCTCCGGGACCTCCTCGGCAACGGCGCACGCCATGGGCCCGCACGCCTCGGCGGCCGGGGGAGCTGCTGCCGCGCGGGTCGGCCGGCGCGCGAGGCGCCCGCTCGGGCGAACGCCCCGATCACCTCCGTGCTCTCGAGCCAACGTGGCTGCAGGGGAGGAGGAGGAGGAGGAGGGCGAGGAGGAGGAGGAGGAGGAGGAGGAGGAGGAGGAGGAGGAGGAAGAGGAGGGCGAGGAGGAGGAGGAGGAGGAGGAGGAGGAGGAGGAGGAGGAGGAGGAGAGGTCCGACGATGGGGACTTTCTGCGGGCGATCAGCTGAGCACTTGATGGTGGGCACCGACTGGCGAGGAGTGGGCGATGAGGGGTCGATGGCCCCCCTTGAGCCAATCCTGCTCTTGAAGAGTCGGGAGGAGAAGGAGGCGGGGAGGAGGAGGAGGAGGAGGAGGAGGAGGAGGAGGAGGAGGAGAAGGAGAAGGGGGGAAAAGGAACCCCTACTGCCATGGTCAAGGCATTTTTTTTATATCGCTACTCTCTTCTTGCTTCCTCAAGCGCTGGCGGAAAAAACGGTTGCATTTGAGAGGCGTTTTATTCCTCACTTACAGCCACTGCGAAGTATTATACAATACAGCAAATGATCTGTATATTGCTTACAACCTCAGCCGCCATGCGATTCAAAGACACGCCAGGCAAACCAGGAGCACCCCAAGAGCCGACCTGCGATAGGCAAACTCAAGAAGTGAACCGTGGCCTGAAAGAGAGACTGAGCACGCTAATAGCAACGTAATTCCCCCCTCCCCCTGCGCCGGCCGCAGGCCAGAGGATGCGAAGAGCGGAACTGGGTAGCTAGCTAAGCGGCCGCGGCTGGACGCCGGCCACGGAGGAGGAGGAGAGAGAGAGAGAGGAGGGAGAAGAGGAGTGTCCTCGGCACTGCTGGGGACTGCGACTACGCCTCGCCGCGGTTGGGCGTGCCAGGAGCAGCATCGACAGCTGCAGAGGGAGCTGTAAAAACAGTCTGCAGGAGGCCTCCTCTACGCCACCTGGATGGCCCACCGGAGCCTCTGCCAGCGAGCGAAAACGGGTCTGTGCGCGAGCCGGCCGTCACCCCTGAGCCCCGTGGGCGGCGGGCTCGCGCGGGCGGGTTGGCTGGAGTTTGCGGTGCGCGCCACAGCGCGTTTAAGCGCCGCGCGGAGGCAGCATGCCCGTCGACCGCCCCCCGGCACTGCTGGATCACTTCTTGGATGGTCATTTCTATACTGCCTGTTGGTGGCGACGGCAGGTTGCGCCTCCGGTTCGTGACCATGTACAGCGCGTAAGCGAGGACGGCCCAGCAGGTGCGCTCGGTGTCGTCGGCGTAGCGCGCGACGCCGAGGAGGCAGCGGATGCGGCGGGCGTAGTCCCCCTGGAGCCTCAAGAAGCGGCCGCTCACAGCGCGACCTACCCTGCACCCCACGTAGTGTTCGATACTGTCGGCGCCAGCGCCGCAGCCCAGCACGCACGCCCGTGCACCCTGAAAGCGGCGCGCCGTGCACCATCTGTTCCATGCCAGGCCCCATGTTGCTGCAGCCACTCTCGGCGCTACCAGACCCCCAAGCCGCTCCAGACTCTCCCGCTGACGTCGGACCAGTGTGTGCCGCGACTCCCCCAGGCGCCAACGCTTCAGCTTGTACGCCAGCCGGGCGTCCCAGCAACCGAGAAAGTGGGGCAGATTGAGCTTGGCCGCCTCGCGCTGGAAGTGGGCCTTCAGCATCGCGCGGTCTCGCTCGATGTCGTCCCCTCTGCAGAGGCGCGCCCGGATGGTGTCCTTGGTGATGCCCTTCGCGGCCATGCGCTCCCCGTTCTGCACCAAGCCCTCTGCGAAGGACTGCCGGTACCAGGTCTGCCAGAAGATGAACCTCTCCCCAAAGGTGGTGGAGTCGAGTACGCGGCGCAGATCCTTGGCCACGTCGGCGGGCGCGTCATCCCAGGCTTCGAAGTGGAGGGCGCGAAGCATCGCCGCTTGTCCATGTGCTCGCAGGCAGTGAAAGGACCGCCCAATCCCGCACCTCTCCCCCATGCCCCAGAGGTCGGAGGCCGTAGCCCAGTTTCCGGGGCCCTTGGCGATCCCCAGAAGCACCTCCTCCTCCTGCCCGGCGACCGCCTCTGGTACCGGATGCAGCTGCGCCAAGAAGAGGAGGACGGAGAAGCAGAAGACGTTATAGACCATTGCCGTGTACTGTAGGCCAAGGGCTTTGTCTGACCATGCCTCCGCCCTTTGTCGCCATTTCGCCACGGCCTTGGCCCAAGCGGAATCGTCGCGGGCAGGGCCCACCAGATAACCCAGATATTTGGCAGCGCCTTGCAACTGCACCTGCCCCCAATCCAACGCCTGCAGGAAAGGCCTGAGCTCTTCGTATGGGTACTCCTCCTGTCGCCAGAGAGGGATCACCACCGTCTTCGCGTAGTTCAGGGCAAGCCCAGAGATGCCGGCGTACTCGTGGAACAGCCGAGCGACGGATGGCAGCGCCCCGAAGAGGTCGGCCATCGCCGCCGCCGCGTCATCAGCGAAGGCTCTAACAGCCCCTGGCGGCCCCAATGCCCGCGACAGCTTGCGAAGCAGCACGTCCACCACCACCGCAAAAATCAAAGGGGGGAGCGGACACCCCTGGCGAATACCCCTCGTCATGAGGAAGCGGTGGCCGTCATGGCCAGCAAGCCGGACAGCGGCAAGGGTGCGATCGTAGAGCGTCTCCACGAAGTGCAGCTGCCGGTCGGGCATGCCCAACCACCGCAAGTAAGTAAAGAGAAACTCGCGCTCGACCGATGGGAAGGCCGCTGCGAAGTCAAAGAGGACCAGGGCGCCGCGAGAGCACTGCAGACTGATCTTCATGGCAGCGTGGTCGATGGTGAGGACGTTGCTCAGCATGGAGCGCCCGCGGATGAAGCCCTTCTGCATGTTGGACACCCACGCTCTGAACATCTTTTCCCATCGTATCCGGGCCGCCCCACACATCAGCCGATTATCAGTATTTACTATCGAGAGAGGGCGCGTGCCGGACGCGTCATACACCTGCTCTCCATCGTCAGTGGCCCCAACGGGGGCCTTCGGCAGGCAGACCAGTACCCCAGCGTTGAACTCGTGGTCGCCCTCGTACGCCTCCTGCAACAGCTGCAAAGCCTCAGGAGCATGAAGGTCCTGCATGGCGTCCCAAAGTACATCAAGCCCAAAGTCTCCCAACTCACGCCACACCTTGTAGGGCAACCCGTCAGGCCCAGGAGCGGTGTTCTTACTGATTTTGATGGCGCGCTCAAGGTCCTTGCGGCGCACCTCCCACGCCTGGGACCCAGGCGGAGGCAGGCCCCCTCGCCAGGCCCCGACTCCGTCTGCATCGCGTTTGCGTTCCTGCTCATGGGCGGTGGCTGGCGGATAAACATCCTCCAGCCAGCTGGTCAACAGCTCCCGGTTTATCCCCTGACAGGTGAAGACCTCCTCCCAGTGTTCCTGCAGCAGCTGCGCCATGCGAGCGGGCTCGGTGTATACCTTGCCGCACCTGTCCCTCATGGCCTTGATCGTCCCTGTCTCACCCCCGTGTAGGCGTTTAAGCTGGCGGATGATGTTCTCCTTGCCGCGTCTGGCACCTAAGTCGCCCCCCTCTTCCTGCATCCGGCGCACCTCGGCAAGGTCCTCAGTGACGGCCGAGCGGGCGAGGTCCAGTAACCAGTCCGTGAAGTCTCCGTTTCGGTGCCCGCGCCTGCACGCAGCCGCGCGATCTGCCAGCTCCGGGAACGCCTGCAGAGTCTCCGCCGCTCGTCGGGAGTGCCCCCCCTCCACGGCGCGAAGGTAGCGCATTGCCCAAGCCAATTTGTCCTTCGACGTGAGTCTGGCGGGTTGCCGCGGACGCTCACGGCGGATCTGGACCGTGACCTTTGTGATCGACGCCTTCAGGTGCAGCAGGCGCTGAATACCAGTGGCGTTGCCGTCAACATCCCGAAGCCGCGCAAGATAATCGATCTTGACACGGCGTCGCCACTGAGGGCCTCCCACATCGCGGGCGTCTAGAGGGCGCTCTCCATCATCTGTGTCTGCGGGGTGTTCGCCGCGGCGGTAACCTGCAACCGGGCGGCGACGCGATGTGTAATCGTGCCACTCGAGCGCCACGCTCCCGATGTCGCGGTCCAGCCACTCCCAGCGCTCCATGTTGGTGTAGATGCGGTCCAGGCGCGAACGGCAGTCAGCGAAGCGATACGTGTACTCGGGCTGCTCCAACTCGGCGAGGTGCAGGCGACGTAACAGCGCGTCCGCTTCCTTGGCCTCGGCCGCATCGCCCCCTCCCGTGAAGGCCGGGGGATCGCCGCTCAACCTGTCTTCGTCGTTAACCACAAAGTTGAAGTCCCCCACGACCAGCTGCAGCGAATGACCCCAACAAGCCATCACCTCGGTCAACTGACGGATCGTCGAAATGCGCTCTCGCCGGCCACCGCTGTTGCCCGTGCGCAGGTACACGATGCCAATCTGCAGACGCCCAGCGCCCCCCCAGCAGCGCAAGACCGCGGCGCGACCTGGGACCGGTTCCAACCAGTCGTGTCCTCCATGGTTGCCCTGCAGGGCGTCGAGAAAGCGCTTCTTGATCCAGAGCCCAACGCCCGCACCTCCCGCAGCCCCGTGCGACCAAAAGGCCTGGCAGTCGGAGGGAGTGCGAAGGCTGGCGCACTTGCCCAGGTTGCCATGGGTCTCCTGCAGGGCGAGCATGTCCTGAGACACTGCCAGCCGTCGGGCGCGTCGCATCTTGACCTGCTGTCGTAGGATGCTGGAGGCCATCAGCCCCTGGGCATTCCAGGATGCAAGTGACCAATCGCCCCGATAAGGGAACAGGTCGTTTGCCGCCTCAGCCACCACGCCACACCTAGCCCCAGATGACGGAGGGGGCGGTGACGATAAACCAGCTTCCAGGGAGAGGCAGATTCGGCGCCGGCGTCGAGGTCCAGCATCGATTGGGTCCTCTGCATCACGTGGATCTGGTCGGGCGCGCCGCCTGCGGGCTCGCGGAGCGCAGCATGCCGAGGAAGGAGAAGAGGAAGAAGGAATATATGATGACGTAGTTCGTGCATCCCCAGTTGGACTCACCTGCATTACATAACCCCGAGGTTCATCAGGCCTGGATGGCAAAGGCTCCCAATGCTGAGCCACCAGCCCATACTGTATATGCAAGCGCCGTAAGAGAAGACAATGGTCCCATTGCATCCCAGGCGCACCCCCAGCATCAAATTCAAGGTGACCGCGAGGCCATCGGGACCGCCAATGTGCGGCAGCGTCCTCCCCGGCCGCCCGCACCATCTCCAGCAGGGATACATGAGGAATCACTTCGAGCACGATCCTGCCCTGGCCGGCGACATCGATGGCCTTCCCCTCCAGGCGCTGGAACATGTCCTTCACCTCATCGCGATGCCGCACCTGGAGCAGCACGTCCCCACGCCAGCCAGCGCGTGCATCCACAAGAGGCTTCCACTGGTACACCGTGGTCAGCTCCTCCACAGCCTGCGGGTGGAGGGGGAGTCCAGCAGCCTCCCGCGCCAACGCCATGAAGGTGTGCACCTCCGAGAACCGTCCTCCAACGAGCTCGCCGCTGAAGCGGAGCACCACTTGAAGTTCGCGGCCATCGGGCGCACGGTTGGCATTGCGCCTGAGGGCCCTCGTCTCCGCCAGTGCCGGTACCATCGCAAGCACTCCGCCACCAGACGACGGACGGTAGCGCACCCTCTCGACGTAGGCGTCGTCGTTGTCCTGGAAGGCGCTGTCCACCGCCGCACGCCACTGGATTTCAGAGGCCGTCGTGCGGGCTAGGAGGAGCCTGGGCGACACCAAGACCGCGTCCTCAAGCAACTCCTGCACCTTAATGGCCGCCGCCGGCCGGGTAATGTCAATCAAGACGGCCTCCTTCAAACTGTAAGTCGTGTACAAGCCGATGATGACGTCCATCGCCTCGAAGATCGCCTTGAGGCGCAACAGAGAAACCCTGGCCGCCCAGTTGCCCCCCTGCGTGAGCCTGCCCGTGTAGAGCAGGCGCCTCTCCTGTGGCGTGGAGCTCGCCGCCTTCGCAGGCCCCTGCCAGCTGGTCACAAAATCGCGGGGGACCTGGCCGAGCAAGCCGAGCAGAGTCAGCTCGTCCTTCTCGGCGATATCGAGGACGACCATCGGCGCGTCGGGCACGCTGCCGATGAGGCCGCGGGAACGCATCATGCCCCATGTGCCGGAGCCACTGGTCGAGCTCAAGTGGACCATGCAGAGGCTCTTGATCTGGTGCATCGGCGCGTGCAGGCCGGAGACGACGATCTTCATAGGCTCGTGGCTGAACGAGATGGTCTGCACGAAAGGGGCCCACCTGCTCTGAGCCTGGAGGAGGTCATGTGTCCACGTGTCCCCGAACTGCCAAGGCGAATGGCATCCGGGGCGCGGATCGAGCGGCACGACGACGAATAAGTTGAGCGGGACACCCTGCATGGCGGCCTTGGCCACGCCACCGCATAAGCGGCCGAGGTCTTCCTTCTCCCCGGGCGCCCACAGCATGATGCCGCGGCCGGCCATCGTCGCCATCGTCTGGAGAAAGGTGTCGCCCCCCTGCAGAAGCTTCCCGGACACGTCTCGTGCATCTTCCGGCGATGGGAAGATGTGCGTGGCGGCCGTCGGGGGCCGAGCGCGGATGATCCGCGAGAGGTTGAGGAGACAAGTGCATGGGATACCCGCCTCGTGCACCAAGTGCTCCACCACCGCCGGCTCAGCCTCCGCCCAGCGTGGGAGCCTGTCCTTGGCGACCTTCTGCAACTTCCGCACCCGGAGGACCTCTTTGAGCTCGTTGAGGCACTGCTGGTGGGCCTCGGTCGCGCGAGAGATCCAATTGCGCTTAATCTCGCGCTCAGGCTCCGTCAAGGGCCCATCCGCGACGGAGTGAAGCAGGTCGCCCAGGAGCCCGGCGCGGCGGAGCACGAGCGCCTTGTCGGGGGCCGGGCCTTCCATCTTGCAGAGGCCGAGGCGGTCCCAGCCGTCGTCCAGGTGGAGGTCGTAACCGAGGAGGCTCAGGTCGCGGCATAGGGCCACCCACGGTGGGCTGCCTGTGGCGGTGGCGCCGTCCCCCATGGCGTCCACGGACATGTAGTCGAAGTTCAACATGACTTCCGAGTCGATGAAGTCCCGAACCGCGGTCTCGAATCGAGAGCCCACCGCGGCGCCCTGCCCGTCGCCCTCAGGGACATCCTGCGTCGGCTGGAGGCCTGGGGGCGTTGGCAGGGGCGCCGCGCTGCTGCCGAGTCCGGTAGGCGGCACCATTGCCCGCCGCGAGGAGAGGAGAGGAAGAAGAGGCGCGCGAGGCGAGATCGAAGAGAGGCGGTGCTGTGGCCAACAGCGAAGGCGCCGGCTAACTACCTGCCAGGCCAGTGGGCAGGCAGCTTGGACCAAGACAGCTTGAGCCACTGCCATGGTCAAGGCATTATGAAGTAACATCAGGGTTCTTGCCATTGTTGGAGCATGCCGCAATTCCTTGCCATCACTAGACTCTGGTTTTTTGACACCACGCAGGCCGTTTGACCTTAGGCAATTTCCTCCCTCGGAGGTTCCCTTCAAACGATGCCGAAACCATCTCTACCATTTTTTCCGCGACGAAGTCAAGCTTTCGGGTCATAACTCTCATACCTGGCGGCCGCTCGGGCACGGCACCACGGGAACGCCCCCGACGAGGCGCAGCTGCAGGAGAGCACCCCGAGGCCGGAAAACCTCCACGAGAACACGAACGCATCCGAAAACCCTGGGAGGGGGGAGACGCGCCGCAGCCGCTGCCACGGCAGCACGGGCAGAACGCCCGGAGGGGGCCCGAGCAGATGGGGTCGGAGTATCGGGCCGCATCGCCAAATCATCGCCGATGCGCCGGCGATGCGTCGGCAACGTCGGCGACGTATCGGCGCCTTCCCAGGCCCCCGACGTCATGATTGTTTCATGACGTCGACCCCCAGTGGTCTCGACTTATTTCCCCGGACCGGCTCCTCGTCCCGAGTCGTTTTGTAAGGGTCCCAGGCCTGGTGAAGGCCTCCAGAGGCCGAAGATTTGCACAAACCACCCATCGTGATTGCTTCGTTGCCCGAGGGGGTCTGGGTCTGGCGTGGAGAACATCGGGCCTCACATCGAGCGGCATCTCGGATCCTGGCTGGGAGGCCTGGAGAGGGTTGCGCAGGGACCGACCGTTCCGGCATTCCTATAGGCCGACCATGACATGTTCTTAGAACCCCATGATGTTCTGATAACAAAAACAAAGTGTTCTTAGAACACACACACACACACACACACTCGACGTGCTGAAAAACAAAACCGGCTCGGCCAAAAATGCTCTGAAAACATTTCGTGCAGACCACAAGAGGTTCTTAGAACATTCTTCGGTGGGCCTAGTGGCGAACCAAGCTTGGATGCTCCCTCCGGGCCTTCTGGGGCGGTCTGGGATTGCTGGGGTTCTGATGAAAAAACGGGCATCAGCTTTCATGCCTTCGACTCCGCGACCAGGAGGAGCGAACATCCCACCACCGCCGGGCAACGAAACATTTGTGATGGGGTTTTGATCGCCCTTCACAGCGGGCGGCGGGCATCGAAAGGACGCTTCGCCACCGCTCGACGAGGGGGGGGGCGGCGGGGCGCCCCGCCCCGCCTTCGCGTCCGGGTGCCCGGCCCCGGCGAAAATGTCGCAGGCGAACAGCGGCTCGCCTGGGGAGTTCCGACGGCTACCGCTCGGAAGCTGGGCGAGGGCTGCCAAGACCCTGGCTGCTGAAACGGCCCTCCCGGAAAGAAACAGTTTCCCGGGAGGAGGCGCGGCACGCGAAACAGTCGACGGGCTGCTTCCCGGAAGGACGAAGAAAACTCCCCGGAGGTCGATTTTAACAGCCACGGATTTAGCAGCCCTTGCCCGGCTTCCGCATAGGGACGGCTGCAGCGGAGGCCGGCCCACAGGGAACCGTCCACAAGACACCCAACCCTGATGCGGTGGGGGCATCGGATGAGGAACCCTCACACAAGGAATCCGGGGTCAGGAGGCCGACGGAACTCCAATCGAGGCTTGGCCATGGGTATCACCGCCGCCCTCATCAGATAAGGAACCCCCTAAGGTCTGCAGCATCCTGGGCGCATTCCTTAACCAACGCCCCCACCGCATCCCATGACGTCGATGGATTGCTAGCGTGGGGAATTCACGCGCTCCATGGCAAAACCCTCGAAACACAAGAAACCCAGGGCACCCTGGAGGCGAGCAGGGGGAGGAGGAGGAGGAGGAGGAGGAGGAGGAGGAGGAGGAGGAGGAGGAGGAGGAGGAGGAAGAGGAGGAGGAGGATCGGGGATGGACAGACCTCACTTTGGTAAAACGTGGTTCAGTGAAAACGACCTGAGGCCCAAACCTGGCGGCCGCAAGCCTGGAAAATAATAAACGGCCGCGGCGCCCTCCCGAGAACCGATAATGGACAATTCACGAATCGACGTGTCACTGTTGGGGGTTCTGCCCACCGCCGAGAGGAGGAGGAGGAGGAGGAGGAGGAGGAGGAGGAGGAGGAGGAGGAGGAGGAGGAGGAGGAGGAGCAGGAGGAGGAGGAGGAGGAGGAGGAGGAGGAGCAGGGCGTTTCCTGGCATGGGCCCCCATGGCACTCCCTTGGCCCCTCCTGGGCGGGCGCTCCGACCAGACCCGCGAGGCGAAGCCAGCCGTGGCGTGACATTTGCATAATCGGGAGCGGCCAAGAGGGGGGTGTCCAAGAGGGAGGGGTGCAAATCATGACCGGCGGCATGTGCGCGACCCAACGGGGGGGCCAGGGACGAAATGAAACAAGAAGAAGCGCCATGAAATCTCGGGAGATACCATGGCCCCCGCCATGATATCCACCCCTCTGGTCCCCCTCTTTGCCGCCCCCGACATAACGTCGACCCCCAGAGGTCTCGACCCATTCCCCGGGACCGGCTTGTCGTCCTGAGTCCTTTTTTGTTGGCCCCGAGGCCGGGTGAGGGCCCCTGGAGCCGAAAATTGGGAAAAACCCCCCGTCGCGATTTTTCTTCATTGCGCTCGAAAAGGTCTGGGAGGAAGGGCAGCGGCGTGGACACCTTTCCCTCCTCGGCTCGCCCCCTCGCCGCGCCAGCGCCAGCGTGACGAACGACTTCCTGCGAGCGGGCGCGCCCGGGCCGCACCGCGCGGGCGGGCCCGGGCGAGCCGAGGCGGCCAGGCCGCCGCGGGTCGCCGCGCCGCGGGGCTCGGCGCGTGGGCAGGTGGCTGTCGGGAGGGCCGGGGCGGCCACGGAGGGGCAAAAAACATCTCAAGTGTGTCTGGCTTCGGAGGAGGAGGAGGAGGAGGAGGAGGAGGAGGAGGAGGAGGAGGAGGGCGAGGAGGAGGAGGAGGAGGAGGTGGAGGAGGGAGGAGGAGGAGGAGGAGGAGGAGGAGGAGGAGGAGGAGGAGGAGGAACCCGGCGTAGAGGGGGCGGCGCGGGTCTCCCCACCTACAAGAAGGCGAGCGGGGCGGGCGCGCCTGCGTCGCCCACCTCGACGGAGCCCGTCACGACCGCGCAGGGCGGCGGAGGAGAAGGAGGAGGAGCGGGAGAGGGGGGGGGAGGAGGGAGAGGAAGGAGGTGCTGAAGGCCTCTGGATAGTGCGCTGGGGGAAAAGGAGGATGCGGAGGAGGAGGGGGGAGGAGGAGGCACACTCGGATGGTGAGCATCTTCATGAGCGGCGCTGGCGGCCTGAGGCTCCCTCAGGACTCGCGCGGAATGGCCGACGTCCCGACGCAGAGCCAGGAGAACAAGGTCAACCGAAGTCCGATGCACGAGGGGCCAGAATACCCAAAGCCTTGAGATAGCACCAGAGGGCTACACGTCCATGGACTTCATAATTGTCGCAAATGCTCCACGACTTCCGCCACACTTCAACTTGCCTCTTTACTCTCTGTGCTACAATCTCCCCCGTTCTGCTATATGCCTCTCTCTCTCACTCTTTATTCCGGTGTGTGTATATATATACAGATATGGAAAGATCTGGGTCACGCTTGTTCTCGCCCTATCTCTCTGTCCTCTCTCTTCCCATGCACGCGTATGTAAACGTACCCGGGTATACGTGTATACGTTTACGTGTTTATAATATGTTATGTAAGCGAACGCCCTCGCCCTCTACATATACCCAGGTATACGTGTATACGATGCTCCCCTCCTATACCCTCTCACCTCGTTCTGCGCTCTGATACCCCTACACCCCTTCTCCACCCTCTTGCCCAGACAGTGCTTGCACATGGGGGCTCTCACTTGCCGTCTACGGAATTGGGGGGCGGAAAGATACGGATACGTGTTGTCCCCGGACCTCTCTTGGGGTGCGTTCTGACCAGAATTTCGAGGCGAATCCAGCGGTGACAACGAGGATTCCCCAGGAGGACCTGGAGAGGCCGAAAACGAAGGGGGACAACACGTATCCGTACCTTTTTCTCCCCCGACTTACTTGCCGTCTACGGAACCTGGCTCGTTCGTCGGGTGCGCCGCCCCGTCGCCGCCCGTCGTCTGGGCTCGGCTGTGGGATCCGCCGCCCTGTTGCCGCCGTCGCCCCCACGTCGCCGCCCCGTGGCCGCCTCGTGGCCGCCGCCCCGTTGTAATCCAATCCCTCCCTCCCTCCCTCCCTCCCTCCCTCTTGCAGTCCTACCGGTCGATTGCAATCCAATCGACTGCAGTCCAGTGAAATCCAATCGATTGCGACTACATCCGATCGATAGCAATCAACCGCGATCGACTGCAACGCAGACAATTCACCACATAAATCGCACCACTGAGCTCGCACTACAGTGGTCACGCCACATACGTGAACACGTTAGCTGCTACAGCACAGACATACCACCACATAGCTTACACAGCAACGCACACTCCAGATAAATGAGTACGTGTGCTCCTGGTATACCGATTGCACCACGTTGCTCACAGCTCATAACTCCCGCCACATAGATTTCACCTTACATTGCACCAGATAGCTCACCCCATATATTTAGCACTACGTCTGCTGCAAGACCACTACTGGTTGGGGTCCACACTGTCTACTGTACAGGTATATGAGAGCAACTATGTTAGTGTCTCTCTGGTTCCTCTCGTCATGGCCGCGGTCGCAAATAATGGCCCTCCTTCTCTCTATCTTTCGTTCTCTCTCTCATTCTCTCTCTCTCTCACCCTATTTCACTTTACCCCGTCTCTCTCTCTCTCTCTTCCGCTCTCTCT